AGTTATGGTCAAAGATCATTACATGGAGGTAAATAGGTTACTTATTCCTAAAATATTATTTTTTTTCTCCCAGAAAAGGGGCAAATCGATACCTGACTGTAAGGAAGAAAGATGGATCAGAACTGACACATGCAGTTATGACTTGTTGCTTGGCTCCCAGCACGAAACATGCTATCCGGAGTTTGATTCAGAGATTCCCTGTCACCAGTAAAGAACGAACAGAACTTCTGCCAAAGACAGAGCGAGGAAATGCTCGTGCTGTTGAATCTGGTATGTTCAGTGTGGTTTCTGATAGGGACTTGTGAATCAATACTGTTTAAAAAAAGGCAGCAATCCTCAACGCGGCCACAAAACAACCCCCTTTCTTTTCTGTCTCCTTTCCTGTCCCAGCTGACACTCTTCTCTGCAAAGAAGTCTGCTAATTTGCTTGAATCTTAACTGTTAATATGGAGTCTGTCAGAACCGTTGCAGTGAGCGACATAGGAATTAATGTCACGTGCATTCCACTGTCTCCCACGTGTCAGCTTACTTTTGAGTCTTTAAACCAGTTCCAACCAAATTTGTTTGGAAGTAGCTTTCTGAAATGTGAGGTGAATTTGAAGAGAGAAGTTGTACCGTGACTTCCATGTAAGAACATCCTTATGTGAGAATGAGTGACTATCTGCTTGAAGAAATGAAAGTTCTTGATAAAAAGCGCTATTTTTTTGTTTTGTTTTCTTCTAAAATGGATTTGTTCCAGAAGAAGCTACTGTCTAGACTTCTGAATTTCTAGAATATGAAAGCGTTCCCAGGAACACAGACTTCTAATACATTGTGGGTTTTTTAGACGATGCTTTTAACAAGGTTGTTGCTGTAGCAGTTGAGTGTTAGGACTTGTGTTGTGCTTCTTTGCGCAGAGCTGTGTGTAGTGCACAGAGAACGCTTGAAAAGATGTGTCATGTTTCCTGGGATATTTCTGATTTCTGATGGTGCATGCTGGAAAATAGTTCTTAAGGAATCATCAAATAACATTTACAACACTGAATTTGAAGCAGTCTTCTCTGAAGACGTGCAGGTTCTTTGCGTACTGAGGCGTAGCTATTTACTACATCTAATACTGTGCTGTGTGGGTCCAGGGGTCTAGACATGGTGTGGCTCAGTTTGTGTGTTGTAGAGCAAATCTTACAGACTAGAGCGATAGTTTAAGTAAGACTGAGGGTAGGGAAGTCATAGGAGAGCAGGGAGGATGTGAAGGAAGGCGTGTGAATCAGGTAACGTTACCTTTTCCTCAAAAGACATGCTTGTCAGTTTGGAGTAACTTAACTATGCACTGAGTGTTTCTAGACACGATACAAAGGCCATGAGGATATGCCAGGTTGCTTTTCTCAGGCTTAGTTTCTGTTTCTCCTTTTGCTCTTCAGGATCTTTTTTGACTTTGAGAAATAATACTCTGGGATAGTCTTTTTTGTGTGAAACATGTATGCAGATAATGACTCATTTAACAATTTATCTTTCAAGCACCGTACAAGGACGAGAACTATAAATATGGCTTTTAAATGTCTGATGGGTTTGTCACTCTATCTATAGAGATGCATATAAATTAGGAATGTTCATTTTACTGTTTGAATTTTAAGGAATGTATGAATGACCACCTTTTGTACCTGTCTAAGTAAATTGTTGAATTCTCTTTACAGAAAACCGGGAAGTGAGCAAGACAAGTGGGCGACTTAACAATGGTATCCCCCAGGTTCCGGTGAAAAGAGGGGAGTCGGAGTTTGATTGCTTCAGGCAGTCACTACCAGTTTTTGAAAAACAGGAAGAAATTATCCAAATAATAAAGGACCATAAAGTTGTTTTAATCGTAGGAGAGACTGGATCAGGCAAAACTACCCAGGTAATGTTTCTTTAATACAATGAGAAGGATAATAGTATTTATACAAAACTAATGCCGATTTTGGAATGTTTCTGTAGTAAGGGATTTCTTTATGCTAGCTTTAAGCCCTTGGTTTCTCCTGTGTAGTTGAAAGCCTTGTATTCTAATTTGCTTTCTTGCTTTTGAAGTGCTAAGCCAGCAGAGACTCACTAGAAGTTTAAATGGTTCTGCAGAGTTTTCTGATAGATGCTAGATTTCATTAAAATAAAATAAAATGTTGAAGGGAAAGTAGCTGTGACTTCCTTCTAGAACTAATTCTGTTCTTAGTACCTAGAATAGAGTATTACCGTATCAAAGAAAAGATTATCTCAAGGGATTTTTTATAGATTTCTCTGAAGCAGGAGAGCAGCTTAATTAAATTAAAGAAACCAAAACAAACAGATTGAGCATAAAATCAGAATTTTGTTTTTGCTGTCTTTTGACCCCTTCAAGTATGTTTTCAATGGGAATTCTGTTGTGAATCCTTCTGCAACCTGCATGATACTGAGATGCAGTCCAAAAGCTGTAACTCTTATCAAAGTTAAAAAGTAAATGTAAGCAACTTCTTTACAGATTCCACAGTTCCTCCTTGATGACTGCTACAAAAATGGAACGCCCTGTCGTATATTCTGCACTCAGCCGAGACGTTTGGCAGCTGTTGCTGTGGCTGAAAGAGTGGCAGCAGAAAGGAGAGAAAAGATTGGTCAGACAGTTGGCTATCAAATCCGACTAGAAAGCAGGTTCTAATGATATTTCTTCAAGCAAATTGATGCTGTATTGGTATCTTTATTCTTGTGTACATTTGAAGTGCAGTGTATTTGGGATGCAGCCTAGTCAAAGCTCAGTCTGTAAAGTATAGGTATGATATGTTATTTCAGATAGTGGAACATTTGAGATTTAAAAGAGCAGTTTTCCTCCTGTATTTTGCCATTTCATGTAATAGGTTGTAATATAAAAGTGAATTGGAGGTGCTTTCTCTTGATTTCTTGCTGTGTTTGTGTGTGGAATTCCTTATCTTCCTCTGAGGTCAAGTCTACACTGCTCTCTTTGTTTTTTTTTTTTCCCTCCTTTGAACATGCATAGATCCTAAAGGTCTGCAAGCTTGGGAGATAGGTAGGCAGACCGACATGCTGTAACAAATGCTATCTGGTAAGAGTCCGTATGGTACATAAAAGGAAAATATGGAAAATTTGAAAGTGAATTAAGGTACAGAGCATTATTTACTGCTTTAGTGTGGGATATATTTCTTCTTTTCCAGCTTGTATGATTATTGCATTCAGTGATAAAAGAAGCAGAGATTTCTAGGTCACCAGAGGAATTTGTTCCTAAAAGAGAGTGGTAATGAATTGAAGTCTAAAGATTGTGTTGTGGTTTCAGATTCTTTGAGCTGTGTAGATAGTTTTTCCAACTGGGGCAAAGAAGATGTGAGGTGAAGGTCTTTACAAAGGAGTGTAATTGTTGCAGTTTTATTAGCTGCTGGACACAGCAGGATGATTCCTGGAAGATTGTGCAAGAGAGTGGAGATGGATAATCCGTGTTGGATATGTTCCTTGAATGTAATGTCAGAGGATTTGTAAGGGGGCGGTGAATTCCAAACACGTATGGTAGCAACTAAGCTGATGTCTTACAGAGGAGAAATGTAGAGGCTGGAGCACTTGCCAGAGAAGACTGCAGAGAAGTCATTGAGAACCTCAGCCTTCTCGATATCCTGTGTATCTAGGTCTCCCTTTTTCCTTCAGGAGAGGGCCTATGTTTTCCTTGGTTGTCCATTTTTTCCCCAGCATACCTATGGAAGCTTTAACTGTAAGTGGGATTTGGCTCTCCTAACTGGATCCCTGGCTGCTCGGATAGCTTCTCTGTAGTTCTTCCAGGGTACCTGTCCTAGTTTCCCCCCCATCTGCTTCCTACTTAAGTTTGAATTTTTCTAGGAGCTGCTTGCTCCTCCGCTGCAGCCTCCTGGGATTTTAACCTGACTTTCTCTTAGTTGGGATGCATTTCTCTTTGGCCTGGAGGAGGTGATCCTTAAATATCATCCAGCTTTTATGGGCCCTTCTTCCCTCCAAGATGTTATTGCCTTACACTCTCTTGAGCAGATCCCTGAAGAGGCTGAAGTCTGCCCTTCTGAAGCCAAGGGTAGTAAGCTTGCTGTGAGCCCTCCTTGCTCCCCTAAGGACCTTGAACTCCACCATTTAATGGTTGCTACAACCAAGGCTGCCCTTGAGCTTAGCAGCCCTCACCAGCACTTCCTTGTTGGAGAGGACAAGGTCCAGCATAGCACCTCTCCTTGTGGGTTCCTTGATTACTTGGAAAAGGGAAGTTGTCATCAGCACACTCTAGGAACCTCTTGGACTGAATTTTCTAGTGAATTAAATAACATGGGGAGATTCTGAAGGTCCAGTTTCATTTGCTTGAGTATTTGAATCAGTTTGGTTTATTATTTTGTTAATGAATTAATGGTCTGAAATGTTGCTGTATAAGCACTAAGATTCTGTAGGAATTCTCTAGGAGTAGGTGTGGTTGAAAAACGAGCTCTGCGTGAATTCTCTGGTGAGTGAACTGTAATTCCACTTCTGGTGAGCAGCTTTTCAGTCCTTTGGTTTTCAGCAACTAGTGGTCAGGTAGCAGTATTTAAAGTTAGAAACAACTGAAGTGTCTTTATGAACTCTTCTGTAGGGTTTCTCCAAAGACGCTGTTGACGTTTTGCACTAATGGCATCCTACTTCGCACGCTAATGGCAGGAGACAGCACCCTATCAACTGTGACACATGTTATAGTGGTAAGACTCTTGTTGTGTTTCAGGGGAGGTGGAGCAGTATGTGTTACTTGTTAATTGGAAAAGGAGATCCTCATTGTCTTAATTAGCTGAACATTTCAGTTTGGGTTAGACTGAGTTAAATGTTAAAGACTTCCTGAGTATTATAGCATATTCATTGTTGTTGTTTTCTTTGTAAGAGTATCTTCATTGAGGTTCATGTCAATATTTAATTTTGGAATTGTGATGCAGTTGTGGAGGACAGAGCTGTAAATTTTCCCAAACTTCCTCTGCCAGAAAGCAGATAAGCCTTAGGGAGGCTTGGGTACATACGAATCAATCAGAGTTTCTTGTATTGTGTACTTGCTTGAGTAGTACCAGGTTTGCAGTCCATTTGTTTGCCCAAATCATTTTAGGTACTGAGTAATCTAAATTTTTATCCCATGACTATTCACCTGTGTTCACTGACAATTGTGTGAATATTCTTACTGGGGAGTTTGGTAAGTCAGTGAAACCAGAATGTTGACTGCAAGATTAAGTGTCTACTGCTGAATACAGAAAAACTGGTGATAATTGTAAGTGCCTGCCTATTTATCAGCACGGGAAGAAGTGTGAAAATGTGGACATTCTTGACTTGAGCCTAAGTCCGTTATATTTAGATCCTTGCTTCATATATTTATAATACAAAACTAAGCAGAAGACACCAACAAAGATGATTGGTCAGTTGTGATGATAAACTTTGTTCATGGCTTATTGCTCTAAGCAATCATAACTTTTTTTCTGATCATGTGGTATCATACTTTTTTTTTTTTTAACTGGTCACCAGTTTATCAAAATAAGATTTGTAGGATTAGTGGTTTGTCCTCTTTAAAATAAGATTCAAATGTAAGAATTAGAAAAATTTCAGAAGTTCAGTTTAACCTCTGAAATCAAGGTGTATGTGGCTTGTTTGTTACCAGTGCAGTTTGTTCTAATACCTACATAATTCAGGAAGTTTTCTTTGTTGACTTTTGGGTAGTTTTAAACAAACTCCTTACTTAATTAGCCTTACACATTTTAATGCATCTACAATGTATCAGAAAGTTATATATTTTAGTTTTAAAATAAGTTTGTATTTGTGTATCTTGGACCTGTGATGTTATCTGATGTCTGGTGGGTTTTTTTTCCCCCTTTTGTTACAGGATGAAGTACATGAGAGGGACAGGTTCAGTGACTTCCTGTTAATAAAACTGAGAGATGTGTTGCAAAAACAGGCTAATTTAAAATTAATTATTTCTAGTGCTGCTCTAGATGCAAATCTCTTTATTAGGTATTTTGGAAGTTGCCCAGTAATACACAGTAAGTATTGATGTAAACTTTTAAGTCCTAGGGCAGGTGTATTCAGATTGAAAAGATTCTGTTAAACTGCAGCCAACCATTGTGAGCAAGGGAGCATGTTAAATAGACCTAGTGTTACAGCAATGCTTGTTATTTGATCATTTTTGTTGTTTCTTAACTATTTGCATTTACTTCAGAGAGAATTTAAGAATTAAGAGAGTTTAGGTACTTTGTAGGTTAACGTCATTAAAAAGATTTGATCCTCCTTCAAGAATTTATCTGGGAAAATCCTGACTACAGATTGTAACTGTGGTTCTTGTAGTACACATAATTGGTGTTGGAAAACTTCCTCTGTGGTGGCTTCTAAAACTATGTGAATTGTAGCTTGTTCTTTCTGGAGCAATGCAAGTCCTGGGTGATTTATATTCAGTTATGTTGAATGTCTGCTAAGAGACCAGAAATCAAAATCTAGAGGTTTTAATTCTTCCTGTGAAAAAGAAGTCTTTAATGTCTATAAATAAGCTCTAGAAAACAGTGATATTGAAAAAGAAATGAGTTCAAAGAAGGAGAGATCACTGAAATGTCTCATTTATGTGGAAGTATTCAGTAAAGAGAGACCAATTTGGCTTGAGGATTGAGGAAATTAAAAGAAGTCCCATGTCCTTGTATACTTCTAATGAAAAAAGTAGTTTAATGCAAAGGTGGCAGAGTGCTTGTGGGATCTTGCACTAAAGCTATGTCAGTTGCAGTTACATTTTATAATCCAGTTGGCATCCTTACACAGTGAATTCTTTTCTGTAACCTTAAACAAAAATGGCTGTTTTTTTGTCTTTATTTTTATAAAATTGCAATGACTGAGACTTGTGAGCATCTCCTGCTGTAACACGTAATAGAATGGAAGAGGTTAATGAGAAACAAGGCACCCAGTTGACGTTTTCCTTTTGAAATGTTTTGGGTTTTGGTCCAGTCATCTTAAAAACTAAACTGCTGCTGAAAATACCCTTACGAGACTTTTCACATAAAGTAGTGTTTCCTTGAATTCAGGCTCTAATAATGTTTAATTGACTTGTAACGTTTACAAAAATGCGTTTTTAAAGATGGAGGTTATAAATGATGCTAGGGAATAGCTAATGTTTTGTTAATGATTTATGTTTCCAGTACAAGGAAGACCTTTTGAAGTTAAAGAGTTTTTTCTGGAGGACATTTTACGAAGCACTGGGTATTCAAACAAAGAGATGGTAAAGTACAGAAAAGAAAAGCAGCGAGGTTGGTGGAGTTCTTAATTATTTGGGTTGGCCTGAGCCTGCTTGAATGATGAGTTGAAGAACAAAATAGTAGAATTCTCTGTTCAAATTCCAAAGTTGGTATATTAAATGAAATATGATTGCATGACAGCAAGTATCTTTAAGCTCTCAGTGTTTGCATTATTCCTGTGGATTATGTAAATGAAAAGAAAAAAACAATCACAAAAACCCAAAAGCCCCTCCACTTTTCTTTCAGTGATTGCATTCTTTTTGCTTTCAGTTGATAAGTGTTATATTTTTCCTAATTATTGTGGAGCAGCATTCCATATGATCTGGGGCTTTGTTTATAGAAGCAGAAGATACTGGTTGCTGTCTGTGGTGTGCAAAATGAAGTGCAGTGCAGCCATTAAAGAATACAGGATTTTGTATATTGCGCATAGAAGTGGTTTCTATTAGTAACTTTCTTCATTGCATTCTTCAGAAATAGATGTATTGCCTATATGTAACCTAGAAGCATTAACATACTTGAACGTAATGTAGTTTGTTTTCAATTGATTAAGTAGATAAGTTACTTGAGAAATTTTCCTGACAACTGAAAGTCATGGTCTTAGTGTGTATTTTTTGAAAAAAGTGCCCAAACTAAAGTTATAACACACAGTCTTAACTGTGTTCAGTGTTGCTCAGCTCAGATAGCTGAATTTTTCTCAGTGTTCTTAGAGCAGATGTTTGCAAAGGCACACTTTGGGCGTGCCCAGTGGAATTTATGTTGGAGTGGTAGCAACATTCTAGGTTATATAGAAGAGATTGGATCGTACTTTGACTTGATGGTAGGTTCTTTTTGTATCTGAAAATAATGGATCTTAAGATGAGTGTAAAACTTCCTTTGGAAATCCTTTATGCATTCTAGAAGAAAAACAGCAAAGCACTCTTACTGAATGGTGTTCTGCTCAAGAAAGTAGTAGCAAACTGGAATCTCAGAGGCAAAGATCTGTCCCAAGTGCACCTGAAGACTATAACCTGTTGGATGATGGTGGTGACACAGTATTTAATCAACTGGTAAGTTTCTCCTTTTGTTGGCAGAGGTGTTTAAATCTGGATTCTAGTATTACTGCTCATGTAAAAACTGTTTTCTAAAGATATTATTTCTGTAGAGGATATTAATATAATTTAAAATGTCTTTTTTTTTTTTTTAGCATGCGCTACTGTAACTGAAGTGCTTTTCAGTTCTGATGGTAGTACACAACTTTTGTTTAGATCAAGTGGCTGGGCTGCCATTGTTCGAAGTACTTGCATATGCTACAGTAAATGCTTTAGTAGATATCTGAATGCTGTATTGCTCATTGTTACTTGGAAAACTAACTGTTGAAATTCTTTATTTCTAATACGTGAAAGTAAAGGCAACTCTTGAAAGAGCTGAATCTTTCAATATTCTTTTTTGTCTTCAGACTGAAAAAGATTCAAATTGCCTTGAGCCATGGCTAATAAAAGAAATGGATTCTTGTCTTTCTGACATCTGGTTGCATAAAGATGTTGAATCGTTTGCTCAAGTGTTCCATCTCATTTTAACTGAAAATGTTAGTGGTAAGTTTATTATCTTCCTACATTATGGAAAAAGAGCCTATTGAAAATCTGAATAGGGTTAGCAGATTTAATGAATCCTGTACTTACTTGTTGTTGTACTTACTCAGAAGCATTGACCGATGTTATGTTTCTAACATACTGTTAAAATGGCTGTCTGGTAGGAAGAAGTGAGAAAACTCCTCTTTGGGCTGTATTTTGGAAGTCATATTCATCCTACATTTAGATGGAAAACCAGCATAATTTGTATTGGTGTTTCTGATTTGTACTTCTCAGTTGATTATAGGCACAGTGAAACCAGCGCGACTGCACTCATGATTGCTTCAGGGAGAGGCTTTCTGAGCCAAGTAGAGCAACTGATCAGTATGGGAGCAAATATCCACTGCAAGTCATCCAATGGCTGGTAAAAACAAACAGATAAAGTGGAAGATCAATGTATTTGCCAATGTACAAGTGGGAAAGCAAAGGAAAGGTTATAGACATTTCTAACTCACTCAACTACTGCAAGAAGTTTTAACAGTTTAACTGAGAAGTCAGCTTAGAATTTTTACAGCTGAACAACGTGGTAAATGTAGGTTAGAAATTGTCTAAACAGTCTTGAATCTGGGATACACTCTTGGTTTCAGTGAGTCTGACTTAACCCACCACTTAGCAGAAAAATCTGAGTCTTTGTCACTGATTTGATGAAGTTAGACGCAAAGTATTTGGCGAGTCATTTGAAGAGAGTAACCTATATTGAATTTAAAATCAGTGTATTCCAGGTCCAGAGATGTTTGTGTTATATCTGTAGATGTTGTTGCATATAAAAATATTTATGACTCGGTAGAAATTGAGATTTTTGTGACCATCAAGTGTGTCTTCATCTAAACAGGGAAGTACAGTAAATGATTGTGTTATGGAAAGGTAAAAATAAAGATTCCAGGGGTCTGATACTTGATACTACCATTTGAAAAACTTGGGAAAGCGTGCAATTCAGGAGGAAAAGGGAGTGAACTGTGTTGTGAGGAGGGAAACTTCCGTAGGAGATCAAAAAGAAAAATATTGGGGAGGTGGCTTCTCAGGGTTGTTTAAAGTTGCTAGTAAGCAGTACTGCAAAGTGACGTGGTTCATCTCTGTACACGAGGGTGTGGGTTTTGAAGAAGTGGCCCATTTCCTTTTTCAGGTTTGTGTGAAAAGAGATTCTTTCTTGTTGAGGAGTTGCAGTTACCTAACAATGATACCACTGGTACACATGTTCATACACTTCAGAATGGGAAGCTGCAGATCCAGCAATAACAGCAGTTACTTAACACTAATGCAGAAATGGATACAAAAGTGTGGTTTCAGCTGTCTGTTGATGTGTTGTTCATATGTATCTTTTGAAGTGAGAAATAAAGAATTACCTGCTACTCTTTCAGGATGGCTTTGGACTGGGCTAAGCGCTTTGGACAGACAGAGGTTGTTGAGCTCTTGGAGTCCTACAGGTAACCTGTAACTGCTTTGCAGAAATAGTTACATAAGATGGTGAAGGGAAATTTATGTTTTTAGATTTTTGTGCCTTGCAATGTAGCCTAAATAGCAAGATTTTAATAGAGGGATCTTTTGAAGAAGTTGTTTTTTAAAAAAAGTTTGTTTGTATTCAGTATCATAGTGATGATGTTAGCACAACTCCTAGGGTAAATACCTTTCTAGTGGTGTAGAACTTCTTTTTTATTACTGGAGTTTATAATCTTGATATGGACGTTCCTGTCACGATTGTGTGGCCATAGCCAAGCAGGATGTGATTATAAGTAATTTAAAGAAACATGCAGAGGCATGACAGTTGTATACCATATACTATTTTAATGTCAGATACTTATTTGGGAAACAAGTATATTGTGTGTTTTTATCTGTCTGTCTGTCTATCTATCTGTCTGTCTATCTATGTATCTTAATACCTGATAACCACCTTGATGAAACTTTATTTGAGTAGCATGTACACTAGGCCATTCAAGAAGTGTTTTTTTAAAATTAACTTACAGTTATCATAGTTGAGTAACAGTTTTGCAGAGATCTGTATTGTTATAATTTGTCTTTGTGTGGTTTCTGTTAGTGAAGTACCTGCTTAACTGTTAGGTTAGGGAAGTGTTTTGGAAAGGACATTTCTTTTAAGTATTTCCCTTACAAACGTGTCTTTATAGTTTGAGTTCTGTCACATTTACTTACGGTTTGAATGTAACAAATTTAGTGCTAAAAACGGAAGTTGCGTGCTTTGCTTGAAAGTTAACGCTTAAGGGAGCGAACAGGAACAGTATTGTGGAGATGCTGTTTTGCTACACTTTAAAATTAGAATTTGAGAAGGGAGGTCTTGTTCGTCTTGATCTGAGTTTGAATTGATGGCTGAATGGAAACCCAAAGCAAACAACAACCTTGACTCTGGCCTGTGTATTTGTATATTTTAGTACTTCAGTGGAGTTTGGAAGTCTGGATGAAAATTCTCTAGTCCAAACAAGTGGTAGTGACCTTAGTGCAGAAGACAGAGAACTGTTGAAAGCTTATCATCACAGTTTTGATAGTGAAAAAGTGGATCTGGACCTGATTATGCATTTACTTTATAACATCTGTCACAGTTATGATGCTGGTAGGTATATAGGCACACAGCCAATAAATTGCTGTGGCTTCAGCTTCTGATGAATTGTGGTCTTTTTTCAGTAATACCTAATTACCAAATAGCTTCTGCGTGCTAGTATTTGCAGTACTGGCATCTATTTGAAGGGAATTTTCTGTTCAACTCTGCAAAACAACTTCTTTTGTAGGAGCAATTTTGATCTTCCTTCCTGGCTATGATGAGATAGTTAGCCTGAGGGACCGGATCCTGTTTGACGACAAGAGATTTGCTGATAATGCACACAGGTAGAGCCTCTCATTTCTATGGTTATGTTGATTTTCTTACTGTGTCTTTTGAAGATCTACAAACTGTGTTTTTTGTCTTGCATTAGATACCAAGTTTTTATGCTTCATTCAAACATGCAGACTTTGGATCAGAAGAAGGTGCTTAAAAGCCCACCTTTTGGCGTCCGCAAAATAGCAAGTATCAGGAAACTTTGTCAGATGTTATATTGATCTATTTTGTCTTTGCTTCAACAGATACTAGAGTGCTGTTTGTTTGTTTTCAGATTCTTTCTACAAATATTGCAGAAACCAGCGTAACAATCAATGATGTTGTGTATGTTATTGACTCAGGCAAAATGAAGGAGGTATGACTTGCTTAAGCTTTCTTTGGGAAGTGAGTTTTTTATGGCAGGCTGAAACCTAATGTATGTCAAGCAGCAAAACTCACTGCGAAGTTTACAACGTATGCTGTAAATAGCTAGCTGCTGGAAAACTGTAAAAGCTGTTGCCCATTGATATATTGATGTATCTTGTTTTTATTGCTTTTTAAAATTTGATATTTGTTTTCTTTTAAAAAGAAATCCATTAGTTTAGACTGCCATGCTCCTGAGACTTGGAGTACACACCTATTTCCCTTTTCCTGCTATTGGGTCTAGCCAAGTCCATTGCAATTTTAAGCAAGGTTTCTGATGTGTTGATTGCCCATTCTCTAAGTACTCTTTATAGAAAAGTGCATAACATAATGAGGCAGCTTAAGGCACTGTGTATGACTTAGAAAATAAAATCTGATTTCCTAAGAAATGTGTATGCACACCAAATTTCTGCGGTTCTCATGACAAAACAGTCTTGTAATTTTGCATCAAGCGCAAGAAAACAAAGATGATGCAGAGCAGGCAGCAAAAATTGACTCGAAGCCAAGTGCTTTAGACCTTCCTTTTTTTCTGAGAAGGTGCCACTGGTTATGATTTTATCTAATTTTTTTAGAGAACTTTTTAGTTGATGATGTAAATCATCAGTGCTGTTTGTTTCAGATTCCTTATTTAATCTTGTTTTTATATTCCTTGCTTTGCTTTTGTAGAAGTCTTTTGATGCACTGTGTTGTGTTACAATGCTAAAAATGGTGTGGATTTCAAAAGCCAGTGCTATCCAGAGAAAAGGCAGGTAATAAAAGCTTTGTACTGAGCTTTATTTTGCATATATCCACTGTCTTGTATGTTAAAATAAACAAAGCAGTAGCAGTCACACTGGGTAGTCTTACTAGCCTGGTCCGGTGTTGTGTTGGACAATGGCCAATGCTAATTCTGTGCAGAAGAGTATGGGTCAGCATGTATTTCCATAGAGTAATCTGCCAAATTGTAGAAAAATGGCATTCCGAAATTTCCCAAAGCTTACACGAGGTCCACGTTGTTTTCCCTCCACGAGCTTGTTCTCCTTCCTCTTTGACTCGTGTAGCAGCAACAGCCAGGATGTCCAATAAGATGTGTCACAATTGATCTGTACTCAACTGGTGCCTCTTCATCCCCGTTAGAAGAGACATGGAACATTGATTCCATATTCACTTTTCCAGACTATAAATGACTTAATGGGCTGCTAGCATGTTCTTTCTAGCACTGAATGAGGGCTAAGAGAATATGTAGCAGCAAATGCCTGTGTTTGATGGCATGACATTGTCATTAACTTTCAGAAATTGGAGCATGACTGTGAGCGTTTTCTGTCTCTGTCTCCTTGCTCACAAGTTGTTTGGTTTTCGTTCTACCTTTGACTCTCAAAGTCACTTCCAGTTGTTTGAGGATGTAAAGAGAAAGGAATGAAGTTCACAACTTCATATTCCGTAAAGCAAAGGACAGTTGAGATTTGGATTGATTTTTGTGTATGCGTGTTGGTTTTGGGGTTGTTTGTTTTCTAAACAAATAAGATCTTGTTTTCCAATCCTTGCCATATTTTATTTTCAAGAGCTGGACGCTGTCAGCCTGGAGTGTGTTTCCGTCTCTTCAGCAGGCTGCGATTTCAGAATATGTTGGAATTTCAGACTCCTGAACTTCTCAGAATGCCTCTTCAGGTGCACATATGTTTAGAAATTATCACTTAAAAAAATGTATTGTCATCAAACCGTACTGCTAACTCAGAAGAAGTGTTTGGTGGTTGTTTCTTTGTTTTTTGTTTTTTTCTAATTTTAGCCATTTTTTTTCTTTTTAACTTGCAGGATCTTTGTTTACACACAAAACTTCTGGCTCCACTTAACTGTCCAATTGTTGACTTTCTTATGAAAGCTCCTGATCCTCCACCAGCTTTAATTGTGAGAAATGCTGTGCAGATGCTTAAGGTCAGCAGAGAAATAGATGTAGATGGGGATTGTATTTTATTCTATTTTTGGGGTGTGGCAGGGTATCTTGGTATCTTAGTGAGTTATGTTTGTACTGAGGCTGTTGTGTAGTTACTTCAGGATGTTTTGAGTTTCTGTGTATTGCTGATTTTCATTTTGTGTTAGGATGTATTTTTCCATGCTGAGGGAAGAGAGTACTTCAAATCTTGTCTTAAGCTGTTAAGAGTTGGATTTGCTTTCACTTGGTTTCTTAGGGTTTAGCAACAATCTAGTTGATAACCCAGTATTCCCTTTATCTGTGCTTTTACTGTAAGTTACTTTTATGCACTTCCCACGCTCCCCACTCTCCCTTTTTAAATTTTTTTGTTTGTTTTTCAAACAGACAATAGATGCCATGGACCCTTGGGAAGATCTCACTGAACTTGGTTATCATCTCACTGAATTACCAGTAGAGCCACACCTTGGTAAAATGGTGTTGTGTGCTGTTGTTTTGAAGTGCCTGGATCCTATTCTTACTATTGCTTGCACTCTTGCATATAGAGACCCTTTTGTCCTTCCTACACTGGCCTCTCAAAAGCGTGCAGCCATGCTGTGCAGAAAACGTTTTACTGCAGGAACATCTAGTGACCATATGGCACTTCTCAGGGCTTTCCAGGTATTGATTTCATCTCCAGAAAGACTACTAATTGCAATAGATCAGATATCAAAGTAAATGATACACCAGCCAAACTGAATGTAGAATAATAGACTGTGATTAAATCCTTAGAGAAGAAGTTTTATTTTTGTCTGGTAGCTTTCCTTCGTGTTGGTCTCAGCTTTGTGAGGGAACATTTTTTTCAGATTCTGTTTATATTTTCAAACCTGGTGAAATTCTCAATGTTCTGACAAGGTGTCACTTTATATCCTACTATACTGGTAACTTAAGAGAATGATCTTAACGTCATGATCTTTGTAATAGCCTAGTATAATGCTCTAATAGTAATAATGTCATGATTGTTATGGTAATTTAGGGGATGGCTTAAAGAGAATCTAGTACTTAACCAGAAAAAAGGATCTGGTTTGATACATTTCCTTTCTTTCAGAATATTTTTTGCCTTGGTTTTGTTGACATGAATGTAATTCTTTTTAAAAAGTAGGTTTTTCAATGTTAGCTGATGAAATGTATAGGCAAATTTCAAAGAAATGACTCTTGACAGGCATGGCAGAAGGCACGCAGTGATGGCTGGGAGAGAGCCTTCTGTGAGAAGAACTTTCTGTCTCAAGCCACGATGGAAATAATCGTAGGAATGAGAACACAGTTGCTTGGTCAGCTTAGAGCCTCAGGTAAGTAGCTTGGAACAGATTTTCACCTGGTTTTGGAGTCAAGTGTACCTAATGCAAGTATATACAAATTGCAACAAGAATACTGTTCAGTGGAGTAATTTTCCCTCCTTAATTTGAAAGGGACCAGTATACACTGAAGGTAGGCATGGTAGAGATGTTAGAGTGAGGAAGTGTGGCTGGGGAACAGCTGGTTGAAGTGATAGCTCCCTGATTGTTACACATGCCAGGGGCTTTCAGCATGAGACATGTTTTGTGGGACCTCTGTGTGCTAACAAATTATTTCTGTAGGAAATGTTGTTGTGTTTTAGAAAGTAATTATATTCAATGTTAGTGTAAAACCTCTTACCAGGGAGGATTTGAGAATAATGGTTTCTTCTTGGTGGTGTTAAGATTGGCAGTAGTGAAAAATGCAACGTATTTGTAGTTTCTTTTGCATTTTAAAATGCCTTTTGAGAAGCAAACAAGTAGAACGTAAATAGGAATTAACAGATGTTTGTCCTTTTCTTTCTTCAGGTTTTGTTAGAGCCAGGGGAGGAGCCGATATTAGAGATGTTAATACTAACTCTGAAAACTGGGCTGTAGTGAAAGCTGCCTTAGTGGCTGGTATGTACCCCAACCTGGTGCATGTAGACAGAGAGAATTTGGTCTTGACTGGACCAAAGGAGAAGAAAGTGCGATTTCATCCTACCTCTGTGCTTAGTCAACCTCAGTATAAAAAGGTAAAAGAACTTGATTTTTCAGTTCACAAGAAAGAGCACTGTATTCTGTGAAACCTATTATGTCTCTTCATAGCTGTCAGTACCTTCAAAGCAGCGTGTGTATTAAACACTACATTTTTAGAAAATATTTTTCCTGGCAGTTGATACAGTACAGAAGTGGAGTTGGTTTATTTTTCCAGTACTAGTCATTGCAATGTATTTCAGTTAGTCCTTCTTCCAGATGGCAGGAATCAAAGTTGTAAAAAAAGAAACCAACTAGTCATGAAAGTGTTTGAAACATTCAACAATCCCTGCTTGTAATAGGAAGGAATACTGCTCTTAAGTGGATTTTTAAGAAGTCCTTTTAAAGCAAAACACTTTATTTCCATGTGTCAGGATGATTGGTGAATCCGGCTGAATCCTCTCTTGCTTTTCTGTTTGTGGGTGTAAGTTTTTGTTAATATTTATGCATTTATGTCTACCTATATTTAAAGGCAGGAATATATTAACATTTATTTTACTTGCAAACAGAGGGTAGAATAGCCTGGTCTTATTTGCTCTTGCACAGATTCCACCGGCAAATGGGCAAGCTGCAGCAATTCAGGCCCTCCTCACAGACTGGCTTATATATGATGAAATGACGAGAGCTCACAGGATAGCAAATATCAGATGCTGTACTGTAGTAACACCTGTGACTGTGTCACTCTTCTGTGGACCAGCAAGATTACCAAGTAATGCTTTGCAGGAGCCTTCATCCTTTGGAGGTATAGTGGTCTTTGGATTGGGAATGTTTCTGTTTGGACTTGCTACATGAAAGGCACATGTTTCAGAAATACACAATATGTGTGTTGCGTATGATAATTTGTAAAACGACAGAACTAGAATTTCTGTAACTGTTCAAGAGTAGTTTATTGGTTCTGTAGTAATTACTAATGTCTCCGTTTGGTGAATTTAGGGGGAAAATACATTTGTTGCTGGTAGAACAGTAGTGTTCAGATTTTTTTGTTTGTAATTGGAAAGAATGTAAAAATGTGAATACACCTTTTATATTTAATTCAGGGTATGGGTTATCTAATGATAACAGTGATAGTGAGATGGAGGACACCACAGCTGCTAATTTGGCCCTACTGAAGTTGGATGACTGGCTCCATCTCAAACTGGACCCTGAAGTAAGTAATGTATCACTTCACTTTAGGTCTCTAAAGTTTACAGGATAACATACTGTGATTTAACCTTTATTTCAGGAGCTCATTAAGAAATAAAGAAACAGCGGCTCAGTCCCCTTTTGACCAGGCTAGTCTATATCCCAAATTCACTTTTTCACCATTCAGTTTGTACCATTTCATAACTTATAACCCAAAACCCTGGATTTGTGCATCTGTGAGCAAAAAGATAAAACTACTTAGGTACCTAGCCCAGAGTGGCTTCACTATCCTTCACTATCCGGTGTCATGGTGTGGGTGTCCTCTGTATCACACCAGGAAGCAGGAAGGCTTCAGCAGTGTAGCTGCTGTTGAGTATGCTTCAGAAGTTTTTTGGGTGAGCTGATATTTTACAAGCTCCGGATTGGAGGTTTGGTACATTTCCATTAAGTTAGCAGATGCTGATGAAACTGCCAGACTGCAGGAGACAGCAAACTGCAGGTGATAGTGGCTGCATAATGGCCCTTTAACACATTCTGGCCACCTGTCCTGCCTACGTGGTGCTCTCTGACCTAATGACACAGCTCCGAGAATCCATCAAATTTTATCATGAGCTGAGTTAGC